ATTCATGATTACCATAGAAAATAGCATAATAAGTGTTCTAGGGTGTTATGATTAATCTCTGGAGAATGTTCAAAGGAACAGAGGTTCTCATCATCAACCTTGTAGTGCACCTCCCAATTTTATGAAGTTGCAGAAGTGCTTTAAGTATTTTTAGTGGAAGAAGAATGTTGAATATTGTAAAAGTTAAATGAAAAAATTATACTATAGGTTAGAGTATACTATTGAGGCATGTCCCAACAAAGAGCCCAATTGGTCTTCCAAAGTCCCTTAAGGCAGGACAGTCTAAGGTTGATTGTCAGAGTGGCTTTACTATAAAACCTTCTGGCCCATACATTTATCTTCAATGGATGGATGACATATTTTTTTTTCCAGTGTAGGAAGCAACATAGGCTTTTTGAATGATACAGGGCTTCCAATCATAATGGGGCCTGTGATGTGAATTTATTTAAGATGGTTTGTATGCCCATATAATTAAATTAGGATTCATCACTGTTGATTTTCTCTTCTGAGTTCTATTTCATGGGTGTTCATTAGGACTTACAGGACCCTTCCAAAGTTCCCTAACCCAGCACAGCATAAGGTTGGTTGTTAAGGGTCTCTTTCCTGAAAGCCTTGTACTTCATCTGCCAATCTTCGATCACAGAAGTCCATTGATTATATTCAATAAAAAAAGAATGTTGAATGTCATGGAAGTTATATAAAAAACATGTACCATAGGATAGAATGTATCATTGAGATTTATCTCAATAAGAAACCTAATCAGCTTTCCAATAATTCCCTAAGGCAGCATGATATAAGGTTGATTGTCAAGAGGCTTTTGCTCAAAGGCCTTGTACTCCATCCACTGATCTTATGAATCAAAGAAGTCCATTAAGTATGTTTCAGCAATAACAGAATGTTGAATATTATAAAAGCTAAATGAAAAACTAATATTACAGGATAAAGTATAGCATTGAGACTTGTCTCAATAAGAAGTTCAATCAGCCTTCCAAGGCTCCCTTAAGACAGGATAGTATAAGGTTGATTATTAAGGATCTTTCTCCTAGAGACCTCATACTGTATCTACCAATCTTGTAAATCACACAAGTCCATTGATTATATTTAATCAAAACAAAATGTTAAATATTGTGAGAGTCAAATGAAAAACTCATACCACAGGATAGAGTATAACATTGAGACTTGTCTCAATAAGAATTTTAATCAGCCTTCCAAAGCTCCTCTAAGGCAGGATGGTATAAGGTCAGTTATCAAGGGTCTCTCTCCTAGAAATCTCATACTGCATCTAACAATCTTGTAAATCACAGCAGTTCATTGATTATATCCAATTGAAACAGGATGTTGAATGTTATGAAAGTTAAATAAAAAATTTGTACCATCAGGTAGAGTATACCGTTGAGACTTCTCTCAATGAGAAGCCCAATCAGCCTTCTAAAAGTCCCCTAGGCATCACAGTTACAAGGTTGATTATCAGGAGATTTTCCCCAAAAAGCCTTCTAGCCCATGTTTTTATCTTCTATGAATGGATGAGAAAATTTTCTTTCCATTATAGAAAGTGATATAGACCTTCTGGATGATCTAGATCTTTTAATCACAGTAGGGCCGGTGACATAAATTCATCTAAGAAGGTTTGTATGTCCATAGAAGAGTCACCAGTACAATAGTATACTTCACTGTTGATTTCATCTTCCGAGTTCTATTTCATAGATGGTTATTAGGGCTTATAGGATTCAAAGTCAATTGTCCCTTAATATTACCCAGCCTGCTTATAACTTTAGATATTCAGAGGTATTTGACCAGGTTTGCGGAGATTACATTCTCTGTTACGAAGTCTTGAATTATAAGCCCAATTGCTATTTCAGAGATTCCCATAATGATAATAATTCAACATTTAATAACAGACAAAAATATCACAAATACGTGTATGAATGATAGTCCAAACAAGAATTAATAAACTTGACATAGCGTACAATGAGACCATGATGCGCATAATGTAGGGGACAGAACGTGAAAGGAAATGTACAACAAATACACGAAATTGCGTTAGAATGACCGAAACAGACCCAAAATGACTAGAAGGACAAATAAGGGGGCTCAGGCTAGCACCCGCACTATCAGCCTAGCCGTCATCATCCTCGTCGTTGTCCTGACTACCTTCAGGCACAACCCCACCTTCGCCCTGACTATCTCCAGGCACAACCCCACCTTCGCTGGCAGCCTTAGCTTGAAGAACGGCAATATAACGATCGTGCGCGAGTCCCAGGAATTGGTCTTCGTTACCGGACTCCGCATCGGAGTCATCGTCGTGGTCGTCGTCGAGTTCTGCTGGGTGGCGTCCAAAAAGTTGTCTGGGTTTATCATCAGCTTGCAGAAAACGCAGCGACCAGAGAGTGCGTACACGTTCCACCACCTAAGGATAGAGTCTGCACAGTAACCTCCCTTTTCGCGATCTTTCTCGAATATGGAAAGGATGTCTTGATGGAATACGTCGTAATGAAAGTCCGAGTTGACGGGACCCCAGGTTTCCACAGAGGAAAGGGCGAACCTAACCTAGAGAGGTACAGAGAAGGGATGTAAAAATATGTCAAGGGGCTGCTACGTTGTGAAGAAATATCACCTACTTGGCAACATATCATGGCGATAAAGCCCTCGTCAACTCTCTTGATCCCATTGTTGCGGGCGTTGCACTTTCGGGGGGCATGGGAGGGGTGATCGATGCCGGTCATTGCTTTCGATTCTCCGAAGAGTATCGCCCGAGCTGCCTATACGACGTCATCAGCTAAACACAGGAGTACGAATGTGATTATATAAAAACCAGAAAGCATACCCTTATTAGAGTCATGTTCCTGAAAATACTACTCCAGCCATTAGAGTCGTCTTTGTCGTTATCATATAACTGCCGGTCATAGCATAAAAAGGGTAGGCTGCTGTTATCGACTTTGATGTCACCGTCCTTCATTTTTCTCGCCATCCTGGAAGCATTAGTTAGATGACCCAGAATAGATGGGAGATTTAACTTACCTTGTGGGATCTTTCAGAAATTTGGTACGATATTTACGAGGACAGAGTAGAGCAGCAATGTAAGGGTGGTTGAAACCACGGTTCGATTTGGACTGCTCCACGGGCGGAAGGGGGGGGTTCAGGACATCTGTTGAAGGCTTCTCTAACATGTAGCAGGTAATCCTGGATTTCAGCAAGTTGGTATCGGCGGTCCTTCCCTGACTACCTTGGCTCTCGAGCTATTATTGAACTCATCATGGAGTATAAACGGTCATGTAAAAACGATCACGTACCCAAACTATGAAATGTTCTAGTTCTTCCTCTTTATCTTTATTCATGAGCTCTGAAAAACGGTCCTCTAGACCTGGGGTGTGCTTGATGAATTGTTGGTAGGTGGTTGTATGCCATTCCTTTTCACGATCCGACCTATATTCAACCAGAGATTAGACATCAGTAATAGCCGAAGAGGTAACATAAGGAAAAAGATATCTACATCCCATCGAGGATCGGATCCTCGTCGTTACCTGCCAAAGCCCACGCTGCGTGAAGGTTGGTACCTATGGCTATGTACATCGATTTGGTTCTACAATACCACTGCGCGGCATGTTTGAAGGGCTTGAGGTATTTGTCTCTGCAAAGCTCCGGTCACGTCAATTCATTACCATAGTAGCGCCTCTTACGTTTCATTATGCTTTCTTTTTTTCTTGTCACTGATTCGGTCATTGGAATCTTGAGATCGTTTTGCAGCCTTCTGTGCCACGCTCGAGGGCTGACCAGAAGGGGTGTTCCCAGCTGACGAAGCCGACAAGATGGTCATGGTTGATTGAAAAGGTAGAAGAGCGGTTTCGGCAAGAAAAGTCAACCTCCGCCAAAGATATACAAACAAGTCGCGGCAGCGCTGTCTTGTTTGTATATCTTTGACGAAGGTTGAGTTTCCTTGCCGACGTGACTCATGAGAAAACGGGGGTAGGTTTCGTGGAGCTGAGGGGGGGGGTCGTCTATTCAGTAGACATGCCGATATGCCAATGCCAAAGGCTCTGACGGACTCATATTTTTTTTTGTGCGTGCTAGAAGGTGTGAATGGGAGTGTCTGTGGGGTTCAAGAGGATGAACTTTTCGACTTGAATATCGATCTCTCCTGTTCCTAATTTTTTTTGGGTTTGTAATGGAGAGAAGTGAGAGAAAGATGTCAGTCCTAAATACGAAAAGGTATAATTTGGTTGTATGAATAAATCGGTACTGATAGGACGTCGGGCACTAGGAGGCCGCAATCTGGCCTTGAATCCAGACCGATGATGCGACAAGAGACGAAATGTAGAATCTGCACGTGCTGAGGCATCATGATGACCGATGAGAGACCCTCTCATCGGTAGACTGTCGGCTTTAATCGGCCCAGTGATGACGGTCGGGACTGTGAAGGAGCAAAGAGGAAAGGGACGGCTTCGAAACTGGACGGCAGCATGAGAAGCTGCCAAACCGATGATCATATGAAGATGTAAAAGTAAAACGAGAATAACTTCATGACGCCAGCAGGATTTGAACCTGCGCCCTCTGAGAGGTACAGACTGATCAGTGACACAGACGATGAAACCGATACTACTCTGTCGCCTTTAACCACTTGGCTATAGCGTCAACAGAGCTCACAGCTCTAGGGGCCTTTGTTGGCTTACTTTAACCGAGTTTTCTTACGTTCTTTCGTCCTCGGCGCTTTGCAGGATTTCTTCGAGACTTGGAAGGTCATTAGGATTATACCATTAGGACTATACCAACGAACCATAGAAGTTTGCACTTCAGTCAAGAACGCGCGGGAGTCACTGGTTCCAGAAATCTGGCAACTTCTTACAGGGATAATCAACTTTGGGTTCGAACTAATTATAACGAAGGGGAATTTTAAAGGAACATGGACGGCTTCGCGAGTGGTAAAGACAATGGTTAATCGCAAATCGGCACGGATAGGGATCGACGCGAGAACAAAGAAGAAGGGTAAAGACACGCACCTTTCTGATCTCTTCTCGAACTGTTCCTCTCCACTTCCGTTCATTTGTGTACAGCGAGAGAGAGATTGACTTTAGGTTGGACAGTAGTAAGCTGAGATTGAGTACATTGCAATGCCGATTCGGTTCTGACCTTCGCTAGCTAGATTTCCTTCGTCTCCGAAACCTGAAACCCGTTCCGAAGATTTGTTTGTCCCAATTGGATGGACTTTCATGCCTTCAAATCGGCCTGTAGCACCTCGACCTGAGCTGAATGCGCTGTTCATATCTCATAATAGTGCTGCATGCGAACTGTTCATATCTCATAACAGTGCTGCATGCGAAGCCTGAGGAGTGTCCAGATCACTCTTCAACACTTCGTTCTCGGCTTCTCGTTTCCTAGGCGTGTAGTTAGTTAGTAAATTACACGGCAGGGTCCCAGGTCGGAACAGCCGGACGACCAGTAGGGACAAGACACGATTCCATACCAGAGAAGGCCCGCCCTACCAGTGCAATAGGACCATACAATGATATAATAGATATTTCGTGCTAATTTATACCGTTCTCTTCCAACTCATCCCTCAATGTCACCCACCGAGAGGGGTGAATTGAGAAGGGGGACGAACCAGGAGGATCTGTGAAGCCAAGGTTTTGTCTGTATCCAGTTTGCTGAACAGAGAGTATGTTCTACGTTTTCGAGGAGTGCGAGAAGTCATAGGAGGTATGGATGATTACAGCAAGAAGACCATCTTCAGCTGCAGGCAAAGGCGTGTTGTCTGGGTTGCTGTCGATATCCGTATCGTCGGTGTTGTCTTTGCTAAGCGTGCGCGAAGGAGGATCGTTGGGCGGTTTTCGAGAGCACTGGGCCTCGGCCATAAGGAGATGATTCGTGTGACAGAGTGGGGGGAGAAGGAAGGCCGATGGAACGACAGAGTGAGACCTCCAGCTCCAATCCCGGCTCCAGCTCCGACTTCGGTTCCGACTCTGACTCCAACTCCATCGACATTCATCCCCACATCCATCAAACCCGAAACCAAATTCTCCTCATTGACCCTTTGCTCCTCAAACTCTTCCATTTTAACCGTCCGACCCATGTCCTCAATGAGTTGAGTAAGTCGACCTTGGGCACGAGAAGCTGCGTTTCGTTTTGGTCTCGTGGAAACCGAAGCTTGAGGAACAGTAGCAGTTGATGAGGGTTTGGCTTTTGATTTGGACACGGATTTACTATTCGAAACTTTTGGTTTAGAAGTGGATTTAGCACGAACAGCTTTTTTCGGAGCTTTCGTCGTAGTGTTGGAATTGGGATTGGGATTGTTGTAAGAATCGCCGGTGGACAACACAGACGCGGAAACGGATGTGGATGCAGATGCGAATACTGGAGAGGTCGATGTTGGAGGAATAAAAGGATCGGGTACAGGAGGAATCGTAGAAGGAGCTGCTGCAATGGGAATAGGAAGATTGCCTCGCCGTAGTCAAGAGGGATAGAAGGATGGAACGGTTGACGATCTCGCAGCCACTCGAGTCCTTTCGAACGCAAGACTGTAAATTGAGTTGCGAGAGAAGTTGAATTTCCATAGGCTCAACAACCAACGAGTCCTCCCACTCAAATGTCAGCGACTGCACAAATTCGATTACGCGCAGATGAGACTGTCCAACTTCACGGAATGGTTTGGAAATGTCATCTTCCCAAGGGGATTCGTCCAGTGTTGACTCGTTATTGAAGAGGATCTCGAGAAGTTCTGAAACTGCTCTGTGGTGGCCTTTTCTGGTGAGGACGTGGAGATCTAGGGCGACGAGATCAAAGATCCACGACCGCAAACGAAGGAAAGAGCTTAGTGTAGGTATAGTAGTAGGAACCCGGGAGCCATCTCCATAAAGGACCTGTATCAGGGATTCTGACTCACCGTCTTGAGCATCCATATCTGCTCCTGGAGCGATAGAAGGAACTGCAGCCAGATGGCGAGCAAAGAAGTCCTCTCTTGTGCGCAAATACCTCATGGTGAATGTGGATGATCGAGGATGCACACAAAGTTTGTAGACCACATGATAACAGCGTTCTGCTAGCTCGGGGAGAGAGGCGAACATAGGAAGATTCTGGATGTCGTGGTAACGCTCCTTGCCTTTGTTTTTGAGTCGTGGAACACCTGCGTTGATTAAGTCGAGGATGATATGGATGCATGCCCGTTTCGCTCCGAGAGCATGAGGGTCCTGAATACCTTGCTCTTGGTTGGTGCTTCCGAAAAGTAGGAAGTGGGCAATACTAGGATAAGGTACATTTGCCTCTGTATTCTGGATCAACATATCTAGTACAGCAAGCCTGGTAGCCTGAGGTGAAGGGGTTCCTTCGTTAGGATCTGGCGCCCCAGCACCTGTCGTCTGCTCAGCCGAAGCTTCCGCTAGTGAGACGTCGTCAAACGACTCGACTGACATGATCCGCAAATATCCAGCCAAAATACGCTCGGAATCATCGCTTCTTTCAATCAGGGTGGCTAGGTTGGCGAAGGTACTAGACGATGACAACATGGTGATGATCTTCACGGAGAGGAAGACGACTTCATGGAAGGCTGGAAAGGTAGCATATGCAGCGACCGCAGGAACCAAACAAGAGAGCTTGGTCAAATTTGGTGAAGTAAGACCGCGGATAGATTGTACCGATGAGAGGTGCACTATCGAAGTCTGATATGAGAGGAATAAGAATATCCAAGAATATATCCAGGATTTCCAACCCTCGGAGTATGATTCTGAGCACTCTCAAGATTGTGAGCGAACCCTTTTTCGAAGCCCTCCAATCCTTCGACAACGTATGATAAGAGGACTGCCTGAAGATTGGTATTGGTCAAGATCCGTTTCATGACATCGTATCCGGGATGAACGAGGAATGGAGCGATAGATGCGGCCTTGAGATCTCCTTCTGCAGCTGTTAGGAGAGACTCCAGATCGTAGCTAGCAAGCACTCTCTCGATAAAAGATAAGCAAAGGTCGTTCATCTCCCAACGTTGAGAAGGACGTAGATATTCCCGTGATGAAATTTTAGAGAAGACGTTGTCAATCACAAACGATACGAACGGGCCAATTCCAGGAAGCCTGTAGGGTTGACCCAACGTCTCTGGTGTCGTATTGATGGGACTAGCATCGGTAACGCGATCTTTGAGCGGTATTCGTTTAGGCGTATGAATCAGCGTACTCAGGAGCTTCAGGAATGGAATAGTAGCAGGATAGAGACCATGCAGCGCCTCGATTTCTTCAAATTCCACTTCTACCCCCTTGACTGGTCGGAAGCTATCACCGAAACCGGCATTAGAAGATGCTCGCACATTGATAACCTCCATTCTTTCCATGCAAGTCCACACCGCCCGACAGATCTCTACCCCGGGAATACCTGCCCCTGGTTGACAGAAGGATGCTAGGGTTTCGAAGATCATCCCTTTCAACTCGAGCGGAACACTCAAGGGAATGAGCGAGACTAGGGTTGGAATAGCGCGGAAGTGCGCATGATTGGATAAAGCCAGTCGCACAGCAATAGAGTGGGTCACTACGGTGGAAAGCAAGCGAAGATACGACTGAGCACGCAAAACATCGTTAGGACCAATGTTGATATGGTTCTGCTGTTGTGGAGTAGACGAAAATGACTGTCCTCCAAAGCCGCTGTTGCCCAGCCCTTGGGGTTGGCCCTGAGCTCGTGCTGTCGTCCCCGTAGACCAAGCATCCAGCGTACCAAAAATCACATCCCACGACACTGAAGAACTCCCACTAGAACTCGATGACAACGTAGTTCCGGGAATGACTTCGCCACGACCTCTTGCCATGAAGTTATAGGCCAGCTCGCTGCATTGTTGCCCTGTGGCTAGCCCGGCAAGCATGTCATACAAGGCCATCGACATGATCGTAGCATCATGCGCCTGCGTAGACCAAACGGCCCATTGCAAGAACGTAGGAAGTCTGCCTGCTGTAGACTCTAGTACTTCAAGATATGTCGCACGAGAGTCTGTTTGACCACCCGAGCCCCAAAACTGTAAAGCCGTTTCAGGAGCTAGGCAAGAGTATAGGAGACCGATGAAGGAATAAAGCATGGCAATATCATTTCGTGGCTGTTTGTCGGACCCTTGCGAAGGTGCGTTGGTAGCCCCGAAGCGGCTAGCAGAAAAACCTCGGCTACGATCAGTGCGAATGTTGGCATGGACTAGATCTTCCTGGCGCTGCTTGATTTTTCGAAGTTCCGAAGAAGCATGTGTAATCAAAGACCTGATCAATGATTCGAAAGCTGTGAGTACGTCAGGCTTGAAATCCTCTTCTGGAACCTCCCGCTGTTCGAGCTGTTCGGAGGTAAGAGTGAGATTGCTCAAGAGGGACGGTACGGTGAGAGTACTCTGTCGGCGGTAAAGCTGCAAGACAGCTCCAGAAAGGTAAGTGAACACATCTCCCTGCACAGCGTTCCAAATTTGAACTTCAAGCTCTTCTGTACGGAAGCCAGATCTGTTCTCGACATTTGGATTACGATGTCGATGTTCCGTCAAAAACAGGGTCCATTTAAGCAGAACTGTAGCTTTGAGGCCAGGCTCTTTCCACTCTGTTAAGGGATCTAGCTTTTTCGTCATGAAGCTGATGGTAGTGGAGTCATTAGTTAGAGCACGTCGAAATCTAGCCCTAGAACACTTGGGG